CGCAGTGAACAGAGATCGCACCAGTGAACTCCAGCCTAGGGGACAGAATGAGACTCTGTCTCAAAAAAAAAAAAAAAAAAAAATATCCAATGGCAATTTAGATTATAAAACATGGGGAGTAAAATAAAACTTATATTTGTTAAACTAAGTTGTATTTAAACTAAGTATTAAACTTAGTGCTTCAATCTTGAAGAAAGCTCATACCTAAGACTTTTCTTTGAACTCAAATCTAGACAGCTGGGTTCTCTGACCTCACAGAGCTTCTCATGATTTCCTCCTCCAACACCTGCCATGATGTCTCTTCCCACTGTTGTTCTGCACTGTGTTACCACAAATGACTTGTCTATTTCAGGGGATCAACATTAATTACAGAGGCTATAAGAAGGAAGCCGAATATAAAAATACCAAGAACTCAAAAACTTCCAACTCCAGAGGAGAATGATATTTTAATTTTAAAAATCCTAAAGCAGATTACAAAAAAAAAAAGTGTCAAAATTCATGCAACACACATGTGAAGAAGACACAATGAAAAACTGCTAGTAATCCTTTTACCACAAGACTGAATGTGGCCTTCAGAAAGCATTTAAAGAAATTCCACTAGGCTATGCTCACACCCCTTCAAATCAAAGAACTCCCAAGCACTTGCATAAGTGCTCTGATCTCTGGAGTCTACAGTCTTGCAAATCCAGGTGGAGGCCACAAGCCAGCAGCAGATTATGCAGAATTTCAGGCCCCACCCCTACTTTCTGAATCAGAACGTGCATTTCACAGGGTGCCCAGGTGATTTCTTAAACATTACAGTTTGAGAATTGCTCCTCAACATTTAGCAGTGACTAAACACTGGAATCCACTGGAGAGCATCACAAAATTCCAATGACGAGGCCGTACCCCAGACTGATGAATTCAGAATCTCTGGAGCTGGGATCCGCTGTCAGCAATCCTTAGGTCTTTTTTTTCCCCCTCTTTTTTGAGATGGAGTCTCGCTCTGTGGCTCAGGCTGGAGAGCAGTGGCGCGATCTCGGCTCACCGCAACCTCTGCCTCCTGGGTTCAAGTGATTCTGCTGCCTCAGCCTCCTGAGTAGCTGCGATTACAGGCATGCGCCACCACACCCGGCTAATTTTTTTGTATTCTTAATAGAGACGGGGTTTCTCCATGTTGGTGAGGCTGGTCTCGAAATCCTGACCTCAGGTGATCTGCCTGCCTCGGACTCTCAAAGTGCTGGGATTACAGGCGTGAGCCACCACACCCGGCCACATAAGCTTTTAATACATTTTTTTTTTGCAATCTGCTTTGGAATTTTTAATTGCTTTCAATAAGAACATGAACATATCTGTGAATTACATATCCACTTCACCTCCTCCTAACTTGCCTGCAATAACACAGGATGATGTTTAATACTCAGGATTTTTAATATCATCATATATATATATATATATATATATTTTTTTTTTTTGAAATGGAGTCTTGCTCTGTCGCCCAGGCTGGAGTGCAATGGCGCCATCTCAGCTCACTGCAAGCTCTGCCTCCTGGGTTCACGCCATTCTCCTGCCTCAACCTCCCGAGTAGCTGGGACTACAGATGCCTGCCACCACGCATGGCTAACTACGTGTATTTTTTAGTAGAGATGGGGTTTCACCGTGTTAGCCAGGATGGTCTCGATCTCCTGACCTTGTGATCCACCTGCCTCGATCTCCCAAAGTGCTGGGATTACAAGCGTGAGCCACTGCACCCGGCCAATATCATCATATTTCTGCACAGCCAAATCTGATTTCCTGCTACTAAATCTGATTGAGTTAGCAAATAAACTAACTTATATTCACTACTGACTTTGATAATAGCTATCCAGATCACAAACAAAAATATTGGTAAGACTCCTTCAAAAAGGAATTTAACCTCAATAGGTAACTCCTACCATGTTTAGCTATAGTTCTAAATTAATGAAACACAGTAGTCATTTAAGAAGATACTACTATATATGGACATTGGGGTATACGGGACATGCTACCTCAAAATATGACACCTTGGCATCTGAGAAGCAGAAAGATCTCTCTGACCTTTCCCTGGGCCTTCTCCTCTGCAGCAGGCCATAGAAGAATCCTCTAACCCTCTCGGGAGTAGGTCATAAGACCTTCATTCCAGTCCTCCCTATTCCCAGAGGAAAGGAGCCTCCTTATTTGTAAAGATGCAGAGAATCATCTGACCACACAGGCCTTGCTGAGCTCCCCCAGCTTATTCCCATCAGGTCACACCCCTTTCATCTCATGGTGCTTCTCCAAAACTGTCCGCTTCTTCAACAGACAGCATACAATCGACACAGGATTTCCTGTTGCTCTGAGTCTTCTTTTCTGAAGGCTCCTGTGTCAGGTAAAACTTATCTTCAATAAACTTGCACACTTTTCTCTGGTTAATCTGTCATTTGTTATAGGGGACTTGACCATGAACCTAGCGATGGGTGAGAAATCATTTCTCCCGTAGCCGGCCTAACTCATTAGAAGGAGCATGTACTATCGTGCGGGAGTCATACTTATTCCGAACCATTCTGAAGAGATTCATCTTTAAATTATATATTACATTAAATGTCTTCCTTCAGAAAAGACAATCTTGTGAACATCGCCTTTGGTGACTGAATGTCACTAGATATAAAACAGGTAGAAAAAGAAAATACTTGGGATGGCTTTAACTCTTAAATCCCATCAAACACTCCCCTCTTCTTAGGAGAAACCTCGGCTCACCTCCTCATCGCTGCTGAACAACAGGGCAGATGCTTTCTTTTTGGAGAGCTCGGAGGGTTTTGCTTTCTCTTGTCTCTGAGCTTGTAGAGACAATGTCTGCTTCTTAGCAGCTGTACCCTCAAAAAGATTATCCTAGAAAAGCAAATGGCAGAAAGGTAAGACAACTTTATAAACAGAAAACACAGGATGTCTTCCTACATCAAACTGTTAGGAAGTTAAGTCTCCAGTCAGGTATACAAATAACACCTCTGGCGGGGAAAACACACAAAATGCTAGTAAATCCCTAACTACAGCCTTTTCCCACTGCACCCATAGAAGGGAAAGAGATTACCATAGAACTCGAAGGCAGAACAGCTGGGAAGAAGCAAGAGGACAACATGTGAATGAGATCACGAAGTACAAAGAGAAACTGAGCCCCATCCAGTCGCCCTGTGGGCAAGTGCCTCTCTGCTCATTTCAGGGGGTTACAACCTGCAACGGGCATGGGAGCCCCTGCAGCAGCCAGAAACTCACACTGTCCTCTCCACAAACGAGAAACCAGAACAATGGCTCAAAGGAGAGAACTAGGGGTCTGTCTCCACTCCTTTACAGGTAAGAAAGACATACACCTGGGATGGAGGGAAGGCATGCCTTGCGTTTCTCATTAGTTTCAAAGAGATTATATAAAGTGAAGAAATAGTTTACTAAATAAAATTGCTGGTGTACTAGGTTTAAGGGCATTTATAAACTCTTCTGTGGTCAAGCACTCCCCAAAAGTTGTATTTATTAAGGTGCTTTTATTCAGGTAAGGGGAACAAAAGCATCAGAGGGCCTGAGTCTGAGTTCGGATGGACAAACTCTTAACAGCAGGTGAACAGCCCTGGAATGTGAAGATGGATGAAGGGAGTGTCTTCCTGGATGAAGTCTCCTTTAAGGAGAGTGCGGTAATGTAGGACAGGCCAGGAGAGTAATGAGCTGGTGTCCACCGGGGATACTAATGACAAAGCTCACATTCACTATGCACTTACTATGTGCCGGCACTCTGCAAGAGTGTCACACTAGTAGTTACAGCTGCCACAATGACCCTACTCACTGTTAAGCCACGGTGAGTTTAAGGAAGGTTACTTGCTCCAGGTCCCTGGTTTGCCAGTAGTGGAGCTGGGATATGAACCCGGGGTCTGATGGCAAAGCCTATGAGCTCATCACTGCCCAGTACTGCATCAGAGTTAAGGTTTGGGTTGTCTTCTCTCTTATTTCTCTTCCCCAATGTGCTCTCTCCATCCAGGATGGGAAAGAAAGGCCATGGTCAGGACATGGCTGCCTTCTCCTTTGTATCTCCACTTGATGCAAGACATTCTTGTAGGTCACTGGGTATAACATTGATCCATCCTCTAGACTAAAGTACAGCTGACCCTGAATGACACAGGTTTGAGCTGCACACGTCCACTTCTACACAAATGTTTTATCAGTAATATGTTGAAAAATTTTTTGGACATTTGCAACAATTTGAAAAATCTTGCAAACAAACCATGTAGCCTAGAAATATTTAAAAAAACTAAGGAAATGCTAGATATGTCAGGAATACAAAAATATATAAATAGATACTATACTATTTTTATGTTAATCAACTTTATGTTATCCATGAGGCTTCTGGTTAACTGTAAGCTATTAATAGATAAGTTTTTGGGAAGTAAGAAATTATATATGGATTTTTCACTGCAATATGGAAGTCAAAACAACCTCCACACTGTTAAAGGGTCAACTGTATTTCTCAAAGGTGGATTTTAAAAATAAAACCTATAGATTTCACTCCATAAGAACTATGTCAAGAGGCCGGGCATGGTGGCTCATACCTGTAATCCTAGCACTTAGGGAGGCCAAGGCAGGTGGATCACCTGAGATCAGGAGTTCGAGACTAGCCTGGCCAACATGGTGAAACCCTGTTTCTACTAACAATACAAAAATTAGCCGGGTGTGGTGGTGCGCGCCTGTAGTCGTAGCTACTCGGGAGGCTGAGGTAGGAGACTCACTTGAATCTGGTTGCAGTGAGCTGAGATCACAGCACTGCACCCCAGCCTGGGTGACAGAGAAAGACTCCATCTCAAAAACAACAACAAATAGAACTGCGTCAAGAATCTAATGTCTTCTCCATTGCACAGCTAGGAAGATATAAGGAAGAAGTCACTGAAATAAAAACAGAAATATTTTTATTATATAAACTTCAGGAAGCCTGACCGCTTCCCTACCACCTTTTGCTAGTATATGAGCCTCTGGGTAGAAAGTTTATCAACAACCGTTTTCTCCTAATCTAAATTATCTAGTGTTGCAATAACAATGTTTACCTCTTCGTCTTCATCATCGAACAGGGAAACCGACCTGGGGAGCTTGCTAGGGAGCTGAGACACACATTTTAACTTACTCGCACTTTGAGAAGAAAACAAATCCTGTTGGATTGAAATTAAAGTTGCTGTTAACAGGAATATCAGTTTTAAAAATATCAGGTGAGTATAAAACACAAGTGACTCAGACATGATGGCTGCCATGTATCTAGGCTTCTTTCCTTAAAGGGAAGGTGGCTCAGACAGAGTCCTTAAAAGGATAGGCCTCAGGGTCTGTGCAGGGTGTGGGCAATGGTGGTAAGGAGGAGGAGAGCCACAGGATCTGATGGCCTTGCAGAGCAAAGAGGCTTCTGTATTCCCACCCCAATAACAGGAGGCAGGAAGAAGTTTTCAAATCAATTTCCTACACCATGCTAAAAAAATAAATAAATAAGAATGGCTTCCCATTACTGTCTAAAGAATCAGAGATTAGACAGGGTCAATAAAGAAACAGGGGCTAGATTCCCAAATTAATGGAGCTACAACTATTTTATTTAGAACACCCTTCTCTCCTAAGATTATGACTTATTTCTTTTTCTTTTCTTTTCTTTTTTTTTTTGAGATGGAGTCTCGCTCAGTCGCCCAGGCTGGGGTGCAATGGCGTGATATCGGCTCACTGCAAGCTCCGCCTCCTAGGTTCACGCCATTCTCCTGCCTCAGCCTCCTGAGTAGCTGCGACTACAGGCACCTGCCACCACGCCCAGCTAATTTTTTTGTATTTTTAGTAGAGACCAGGTTTCACTGTGTTAGCCAGGGTGGTCTCGATCTCCTGAACTCGTGTTCCACCTGCCTCAGCCTCCCAAAGTGCTGGAATTACAGGCATGAGCCACCGCGCCCGACTGACTTACTTGTTTTAAATAAATAAAAATTAAATTTCTATTTTTAAATGTTTGGTAGTCTATTTAGCTTAACTACAGGTATATGATGTTGCAAACCAGGATAAGACCTGCTAGATTCTAAAGAAACTTTCAGCCTGGCACTGTGGCTCATGCCTATAATCCCAGCATTTTGGGAGGCTGGGGCAGGTGGATCACCTCAGGTCAGGAGTTCGAGACCAGCTTGTGCAACATGTCAAAACCTCATCTTTACTAAAAACACAAAATTAGCCAGGTGTGGTGGTGGGTGCCTGTAATCCCAGCAACTCGGAAGGCCGAGGCAGGAGAATTGCTTGAACCTGGAAGATGGAGGTTGCAGTGAGCGGAGATCACACCACTGCACTCCAGCCTGGACAAAAAGATAAAATTTCATCTCAAAAAGGTAAAAAAATGTAAAAATAAAGAAATGGTCAAAATGTTATAAAATATAAGCTTATCCTGCAAAGAAAGACCTGCAAATTGAGCTACATGAAGTAGAAACATAAAATGGGACATCTATTCCCTTGGGAAGAGAAACTTCAATACACAAGAGCCGAACAATTAAATAGGCCAAGAACATATTTTCTAAGACCTATTTGGACAGTTTTTTTAAAAAAAATTATGTAGTCGATGTCTACTCCTCAAATATAGACCTAATGAGTTCACTAAGTGAGATCTCCTCCATACAGTGGTTTTCCCCTGTGCTCTCTGGAGTCCCATGGGTTTACTTAGATTGAAGAGGTCACAAGGGGAATTCCAGGCATCCCGTGCCCCTCCTGCATGTTCCACAATGACAAGAGAAAGGGTTCTGCTGCTCTAAGAAAATGAAAGTAAACCAAAGCAAACAACAAAAACAAATGTCAACATCACAGTTTTGGACCCTTAACTAATACCTTTCTTGGTACTGCAAAAAAACACACTTCCATTACCTCAAATATGTTCCCCCAGAATGACTTCACAGGGAAAGTGTCAGCCTCACACTTGGGATACAGAGAAAGGAATCAGGACTCATTCCTTCGGGTCCAAAGCTTTAACTCTTAGACTGCCTTAGTTTTACTTCTTGCCTCAGAATCCCAACAATATCCAATAAAAACATTCACTCTACGATGACACACAAGGGGCAAAGCCTTTGGGAGGGTTTTCACACAAGTCTGAGAGTTCATTTACACTCCCACCATCAAGAAGGGGAGCCTACGGCCCCTCCCCATGAACCTGGATGGGCCATTGTGACCATCTTGATCAACAAATGAAGCAAAAGGAACACCATTGACTTCCAAGGCTGGAACACAGAAGGCGACATGGCCTCCATTTGGCTCTCTCTGACGAATCTCCCCTACAGCCCTGAGCCAGCATGGATGAGGCCCGGCTTCCCTGACTACATGCTGATAGCCACAAAGAGCTAATGAGAGATGTCCCAGGGGCCCCAGTGCCCAGGTACCAGACATAGGAGTGAGCTGATCCTCAGCCCAGCCACCTTCAGACACAAGAGACCCTCAGTGACAATGGCCTAGTTAAGCCCAGTCAACCTCTCGAATTGTGAGACAACAAAACTATTGGTGTTGTAAACCACTAAGTTTTGGAGTTAAGTTGTTTCACAGCAACAAATAACCAGAACACTTCGTAAGTCACTGCAATTGCTCACATATGGTTTTCTTGTCTAGTCGACAATTACTGGATGGCTTATCACATGCCAAGCACTGGTATTAAGGACAGGCTGTTAAGGATACAAACAGGAAATAAAAAGTCCTGCCCTCATAGCACTTACTTTAGTGGGAAGCACAGGCAATGAATAAGTAAATATACATTGTCCCTGGCAACACGTGCTGTGGTAAACAGTAAAATAGGAAAGGGGACCAGGAGTACAGGGTGGTAAGTGCTAGCAGGCTTCCAGTTGTGTGTACTTCGTCAGGGAGGCCTCACAGAGAAAGAGTGAGGAAGCAAGCTGGATTCTGGGAACAGCATTCCTCAGAGTGGCAGGGGCAGGTGCAAAGACCCCGAGGTGCAGGTGTGGGTGATACACGGGATCCATGAGCATAAGATGGTGGAGGCCCCATCATGCTGTTTCTCAGGGCTCAGGGTTCTGACTTAACTGGACTCTGGTTAATTCCCATGTTTTGTACACTAGCCTTCAGTGAAACAATAGCCTCAAAGGTATTCTTTACATCAAGGACAATCACTCTACTTCCAAAGGGTTCCACGTTCATCCTTGCTGTGAGTGCAAAGTCCAACCGTGAGAGCCTAACCTAGAGCCCACAATTTCTTGAAATACGTGTTTCTGCCATGTCCACATATTTTTCTGTAAAAGGGGCTTATTACTTCCCATTACATTCTCATACAGGTCTCTGATCTCCTACAAGGCTAACTTAAAATTAGATCTAAGATGACCTAGGCCTGAGAGACTCAGGAAATGCAGTGAAATTCTAAGAGGTGGTTCTAAGGTGCCTGGAGGGACTGAAGCAACCTGTGAACCAGGTCCCACAGTCTGTTAGCGGTCTCAGTCTCGACAAGACAGATGGCTATGCCAGAATCCTTCCGCTACAGCACTAAGTCATGGTCCAGTTAGTGAGAATGTGAATAAAGGGAGGAGCACGGTGACCTCCACTCTGGTGCAAGCTCCTCATCACATCATGAGCCCATTCATAGTCTAAAAGCTGAGCATCCTAAAGAGAGAGTATTTTCATCACAGGAAATGTAAATACAGTCCAACCCAAAAGTGAAAAGTATTGTAAACATATTGCTTTCTAAAGACCTTAAGCTCTCAAGAGATTATTTTTTTTTCATTTATTTATTTTGAGACAAAGTCTCGCTCTGTCACCTAGGCTAGAGTGCAATGGTGTGATGTCGGTTTATTGCAATTTCTGCCTCCCGGGTTCAAGTGAATCTCCTATCTCAGCCTCCTGAGCAACTGGGATTACAGGCTCGCACCACCATGTCTGGCTAATTTTTGTATTTTTAACAGAGACAGGGTTTCATCACGTTGGCCAACCTGGTGTTAAATTCCTAACCTCAGGTGTCCGCCTGCCTTGGCCTCCCAAAGTGCTAGGATTACAGGCATGAACCACAGCTCCTGGCCTCTAGAGACAATTTTTAAAGAACTGGAGTACTTAACAAAAAGTCTTACAACTCCACTGAGAAAAACCTGATTCAGAAATAGTTTCTATGTCATATTCATAGACCACTACCAACAACTAAGGAAAAGAATACCATACCTCAGAGTCCTCCTCATCTGAAAATAAGCTTTTTTGAGTCTTTGTTTCTGACGAGGGCTTGAGATTTTTGCTGGAAGGTAAGGTAACCTTTGTTGGGGGGGGAAAAAAAGAAAAAGAAAAATTAAGCATTAACAAATAAGATACCCAGAAAAGAGGGTTTACTCAATCAACCATTTAGAAAATGCAAAGAGTCTCTGCTATGATAGGCACCAAGCCGAGGGCTCTGTTAAGAGAACAGTAAGACAAACAGAGGACACATCTGGTATATCGGGGGGCAGGACACACTGCCTGGGTAATGGGTGCACGGATGGGACATATGCAGTGAGAGACGGCATGGAAAGGCAGGCTGCCTGATGGGCCTGCCAGGTTCTGAATGCTGGGCCTTAGGTGGTGGGCAGGAGAAAGTCAGGGTTTCGCAGCCAGGACATGACATGATAAGACAAACTGTAGAAAGAGGAGGGATCAGCTGTGTGGGACAGCAGTGAAATATCAAGCAGTCAGAAGGGCTTAAAGACTGCTGGGGACACAAGCACTGGCCAAACTCAGGTCAATCTGAGCATCAAAAGAATGATGGTCCAGCCAACATGGTCAAACCCAGTCTCTACAAAAAATACAAAAATTAGCCGGGCATGGTGGCGTGTGCATGCAGGCCGAGCTACTTGGTAGGCTGAGGCTGGAGAGAATCACTTGAATCTAGGAGGCTGAGGTTGCAGTGAGCTGTGATTGCACCACTGCACTCTAGCCTGGACAACAGAGCAAGAGCCTGTCTCAAAAAAGAAAAAAAAAAGGAAGAAGAAGAAGAATGATAGTAATGGGTTATCATTTACATTGAAGAATGAATCCATGATCCCAAAGAAATACTAAAAGTCGGGGAAGGAGAGGAAGAGGAAACTCTTTATTCAGAAGAATGTCAACCCATAAGAAATACAGAATTAAAAAAGCGGTGGTTTATGCTCCCTAACAGGTTAACCGATTCAGGAAAAGATCATCAATGGATTTTTAAAACACTGAGTGAAAGGCTGGGAGATAACAGATATTCACACTGTGTTCAACTATCACTTTAGAGATCAACTTATCAATGGCAAAAGAGAACAGGATCCTTTCCAGTGAAGCAGTGTGGTGGGCACCCTAACAACCAAGTGACAAACATGTCTGAATGAAGCAGACGGTGGACCTGATGTGTCCTGGGAGATGATCCAATGGGAAGTGCGCAACCCTGTCTGCTTGTACTCTTGCCAAAACTGCTGACCCTGAATCTACTCAGAGGAAAATAATCAAGCAAATTCACAAGACACATTCTACAAGACAAGTGGCTGGACATTAAAAAAAAAAAAAAAAAAAAAAAAAAAAAAAAAAAAAAAAGATGTGGGAGGTGTTGCTCTAGATTAAGGAGACCAAAGAGACAGGACAACCAAATGCAATGCAGACACACTGCCTGAATCCTGGGTTTCTTTAAAAAAAAAAAAAAATCAAAACACACCAAAGAAGTATAAAGCAGGAGTCCCCAACCCTGGGCTGCAGACCAGTCCATGGCCTGTTAGGAGCCGGGCCACACAGTAGGAGGTGAGGTGAGCAGCAAGCATTACTGCCTGAGCTCCTCCCCCTGTCAGATCAGCAGCAGCATCAGATTCTCACAGGAGGGCAAACCCTATTGTGAACCCTGCCTGCGAGGGATCTAGGTTGCAAGTTGCACTCTCCTTACGTCCCTAATGCCAAAAAGGTTGGGGACTGCTGCTATAAACGGCATTTTGGGAACAAGAAAGGAAATTACAATATAAACTATAGGCGAGATAATTTTAAATCTGTATTCTATTTGTTGGGGTGATTTTACAAAGACATTTTGGGGCAAACTGGAGCAATTCTAATACAGACTAGATATTAGATTCTACTATAGAATTACTGTTAGTCTCACAGCTGTTGATCATGGCACTGTGGTTATATGGAAGTCTTTTCAAGAGAGGCTTAATGAAATATTTAGGGGTAGAATGTCACAATGACTACACACAAACAGTTCCATGCAGCAAACAGTTCAAACAACTTGCATGCAAATAGTTCAGGAAAAAAATAGATATGTAACAAGGTTTACATCCGGAAAATATTTGCCAAAACCCTAAGAACTGATCAGTTTGGGTGGTAGTTATTTGGGTGTTCACTGCAATATTCTTTCCACTTTCTGTTTGAAGTTCTTCAATATGAACGTGAAAGGGAACAATACTTCCCTTTGGGTTCCGGATGAATTATTAAAACGCCACAGATCAATGCTCCTGCGTTAACTCTTCCCTCCTGCTCACCTTTTTTTCTGCTCTTGCTTTATTTTCATCTGTCTGACTCACAGTGGCTTCTGGCAATGCTTGGGCTTTTTCTTTGAACAGATCTCCTTCTTCGTCACCAAAGATATTGGCAGCGGATTGAACTTTGCCTTTAAAAATACCAAGGCGTAAAATTACAATAAGGCCAAAAATCCTACCACAAAAAATTCTACCACAAAATTCATAGATTAAAAAATTCTTCTCTCCCGAAGATTAACATAAAAGTTATGTTGTTTCTTGGTTTCTTATAAAGAAATAGTAAGTGAAACTATACTCTTCCCTTGGAATTTTTCAAAGAGCATATTAGCAGCCCAGTTGAAAGACAGAACAAACAGTTTAACCATGAGGCTGATATGCTTGTCCAAGCAGCAGTCTCCTGTGGTTAGAGAAGCTTGGACTAACTTAAAAGGTGAAGAGAAATCTAGAGGAAGAAAGAAACTCAAGAGGACCACCAAGTCAATCATCTAAAGAATCTGAGAAATGAAGGCTCAGCTCCTGCTTTAAAAAAAATCAAATTGGGCTGGGCACAGTGGCTCACGCCTGTAATCCCAGCACTTTGGGAGGCCAAGGTGGGCAGATCACCTGAGGTCAGGAGTTTGAGACCAGACTGACCAAGGTGGTGAAATCCCATCTCTACTAAAAATGCATAAGTTAGCTGGGCATGGTGGCGGGCACCTGTAATCCCAGCTACTCGGGAGGCTGAGGTAGGAGAACTGGTTGAACCCAGGAGACGGAGGTTGCAGTGAACCGAGATCCGCCACAGCACTCCACCCTAGGAGACAGAGCAAGACTCCATCTCAAAAAAAAAAAAAAAAAAAAAAACCTGTACAAAAGCAAATAAAAGCAAATAATGAAATCCCCTCATAATTCCACCGGTCTACTCAAACAAGACGGACATTGGGAACAGTTCTGCATACATGCTTCCAATTCTCCCAAAGGATGTACTAATGAATTAAATTTAGTTATTTACAAATAAGGCTATAAATAAGAAGATACTCTGAACAATGTGTCTTACCATTTGCGTTTTCCACTTAATGTACCTATAAAACGTTCCCAAGTCAATAAGCGTAGACCCCATTCTTTTTAACAGTCACACAATATTCCACTGAATAGAAGGGCCACAGCTTACCTTACTGATGAATATCTTCACCACCATAAGCACTGCTATACCGAATGGGGCATGTGTTGCTGAAATGAGGTCACTGACTCATGAATGTCTGAAGAGACTAGGAGTTGTCAAAGGAAGCAGCATCAATTTACTAGTGATTCTAAATCAGTTCTCAAAGATATCCACTAAGTGAGAGCCCTGGGGAGCTACAAAAAGCACTAATACCTTCACTCACTGTCAACTTCACTGAGACCTGGGTGCATTCTGTATCCATTTGCACTCTTTCTAGATTAACTAGGCTATCGTTTTCCCTCACACTTCGGCTTCCATCCTTACTTTCTACATCCAACACTGGAAAAGATTGGTAAGTCCGGACAGCCTGCTTCTAAATGCATTCTGGTTCCATCTATTCCTATGCCATCCTTTTTTATTTTTTCAACTTGCTGAAATTCATGTGCACCGCAGGGATCTACCTTTCTTTTCTGGAAAAGCAGTCAATGAATCTAAGTCTTTCTATTCCAAGTGTGATCTACAGACCATGAAGCTTGCCGGAAATGTAAATTCTCAGACCCCACCTTGGACCTACTGAATCGGAATCTTCATTTTGACAAAACCCTCAAGGAGATTCATCTGCACATTTAAAAACAAATGATTTACAGGAATGACTTCAGGAACACAGGACTTACATTTAAGAGGAAAAGGAAGGAGAAGGCCAAAGTGGCCAAGGGGATGAAAACCCCATCATCTGAGGAAAGACCAAGGCCACCCGAGCGTTTTGGCAGAGAGAAGAGAAGCTGGGAACTAAACGGCCAGCACACAACATGTTGCTCACGTATTTGACTAAGGTCGGCTGGAAGAAAGTATGATTAAAACTTTATAATTCCCAAGGTCAGAACTAGAAATTAAGCAAAAATTATAGGGAAAAGGATTTCCACTCTCTATAAGGAATATAATCATAGTAATCAGCTTATAGAGCAGAAAAGATTGGTTCACAAAAGAGACCTCCCAGGCACCACACCTATGTAAGTACAGACACAACAGCTCAATGACAGGAATGCTGGAGAAGGGATTCTGGTACTATAAGAGATACAAAACTAGGGGAGCTTAAGTCCTTTTTAGGCAACATTCTTTTTCTGGCTGAAGTCCCAGAAACAGAGGCGGGAGCAGGTACCTGTTTTGGAAGGTTTGCTGCGGGGTGCCGAGAAAAAGTCGTCGTCATCATCATCATCATCAAAGAGGCCAGTGGGAGGGGGAACGTAGGGGCCTTTCCTTGGAGTGGGCTGCTCAGGCTTCTCGGGCTCCTTCAGTGATGGAACGGAGGCAGCACCAAACACATCCGTGTCTCCTGTGGGCGGAGGGACAAGACAGCCACAGCTGTGAGCCAGTGTGCGCCTGTTGGATTTACAGAAAATAATTATCACCCACCAAGAACTTTTCATTTCAGTTAATCCACAAAGTGCATTAACAGGGCCAGATAGCCTCTATCCATTACTGCTACAGAACATCTCACCATGGAGAATCACCAGGTCATTCACACACAAAAAAGTCCAAGGCCACTGAGCTCTAGGAGAATAAGAGCTAACATCAGTAAATGAGCTCTTTCTATAAGCTGCTCAAAGCCCTTTGAAGCTCCCAGGTGCTTTCTTGTCCCCAGCCAGGCTTTAGAAAATAATAATTTTGAAAATGAAAAAACAGTATTTGTGTAGTTTTTAGAAAACAAACCTTAAGTTATGTTACCTAAAAATACAGAAACGGCTCCTGCTGGGATTTTCTTTCCAGGTTTGGATGAGGAAGACTCTGGAATGAGAAAGCAAGTGATAACCATTTCACAAGGGAAATAACTTTTCTTGCTATTTTCTTCCTGAAATGTGTGCAATGTAACACACAGCTACTACCAGACCTTTTGAAACTAATTTTTCCTGAACAAGCCATTTTAAAATTCTTTAGTATTTTCTTCTCTCCCGATGTCAGGACATTTTTCTTGGGATTAACAAAATCTGAGCTGTGACTCCAAAGGAAGAGCATGCTGACTGTGATCAAGTCACAGCAGTGGGTCAGCTGGGGGACACCAAGGGAGGTGGTGAGCACAGCTTTCCTTAATATCTTCCTCCTCTTTCTCGGAGTCAGCAAAAAGGTCACAGCCATCATCATCCTCTTCCTCATCACTCATTTGTGTGGTGTGCTAAGAGTATAAAATACCAAATTAGAACTACTAGTTATTAAGCTAAAGAAGAGATACTGTCACTTAGCGTTTAGGTTCCTCCTTCAAAAAGGTAACAGCTTTTAAAAATAATAATCATAATCATGATGCAGCAAGTTATGAAGCAAAAGATGTGCTGTAACAAATAATACACAAGATTTACTTCAAATCTAAATAAAAATGCATTCTTTAATAAGAATGTAACAAGAATATAAAAAGCAAAATATTAAGATATCAAGATTGTCTGTTACTAGAGAAATGTTTTGATTTATTTATTTACTTTTTTATTTTTGAGGAGTTTCATTCTTGTTGCCCAGGCTGCAGCGCAATGGGGTGATCTCACCTCACGGTAACCTCCGCCTCCTAGGTTCTAACAATTCTCCTGCCTTAGCCTCCTGAGTAGCTGGGATTATAGGCACCCACCATCACGCCTGGCTAATTTTTGTATTTGGTAGAGATTGGATTTCACCATGTTGGCCAGGCTGGTCTCAAACTCTTTACCTCAGGTGATCAACCTGCCTTGGCTTCCCAAAGTGCTGGGATTATAGGCATAAGCCACCGTGCCTGGCCTATTACTAGAGAAATATAAACAACATCAGCATAGTCTTACCTTAGTAAGAATACTGAGTAATAGTTAAAAGGTAAAAGCTGTAACAATTAGACAGCCATCCAAGGTAGATCAAGCAAAAAAGTGCCGAATAACAAATCCAGCATGATACGGTGCCCCCTCTATATACAAGCATTTCTATGGAAACATATGTTTATAAAAGCAAAGAAAAAGACGTGGAAAGACACGTTCCCAGAGCATGATCCCAGTTGCCTCTGAAGAGTATGCAGCGAAGGAAAGGACTGGAAGGCTCAAACTTAGCCATATCTGTTAAATTCTAATTTTTCCTAAGGTACACAGTAGTATGTATAATTTAAAAAATTTTTTTTCAATATTTGAATCAGTGAACTGTGCCAGGCATGTTACTAAAAGCACTTTATTATCTGATTTAATCCTTACAACTTTGAGGTTAGCTGCAGCACACAAAATCAACCTGTTGCCTTAGCTAGTGCTTTTAATTACTGTACTGTACTGTTTTGAAAAACTGTTTGTGGCTGGGTGTGGTGGCTCACGCCTGTAATCGGAGAACTTTGGGAGGCTGAGGCAGGTGGATCACCTGAGGTCCGGAGTTTAAGACAAGCCTGGCCAATATGGCAAAACCTCATCTTCACTAAAGATACAAAACCTAACTGGGCATGGTGGCACACGCCTGTAATCCTAGCTACTTGGGAGGCAGAGGTATGAGAATCACTTGAACCCAGGAGGTGGAGGTTGCAGTGAGCCAAGATCATGCTACTGCACTCCAGCCTGGGTGTCAGAGTGAGACCCTGTCTCTAAATAAATAAATAAATAGGCTACCCTATTCAGGAGAAGTTCAGATTTTGAAGTCACAATGTTTCAGTGATAAAGTCCAGGGTGTGGGACGTAGATTAAGGGTGTTAAGTACGTGGCCACTGAAGTTGCCCATGACGGTGTTAGATGAAATGCAAGTTTGGTAATTGACTCGCCTCAACTTTACCAACCAAGTTCCAAGTTCTAAAGAGTGTGTGTGTGGGTGTATTTTAATGAATGTGAGGGAAGTGGAAGAGGTTGGTACATGGTGACTTAAAAATGAAGTCCCCTTAAGACACTAAGACTTTTGTTGCAGATAGCAGTCTTACTCTTCGTCCAGGCTGCAGTGCAGTGGTGCAATCTCGGCTGACTGCAACCTTGGTCTCAGGGCTCAAGCAATCATTCCACCTCCATCTCCTGAGTAGCTGGAACTGCAGACCTACGCCACCACGTCCAGCTAATTTTTTTTTTTTTTTTGGTAGAGGTGGGGTTTCACCATGTTTCCCAGGCTGGTGTCAAAACTGCCTTGGTCTCCCACAGTGCTGAGATTACAGGTGTGAGCCACCAGGCCAGCCTAGCCTTAGTGTTAACAGTTATATGTTACTGTAACATATTGGTTCACAGTGTGGGTTCTTGGGTCTGTCTCTTTCCTGGTTACTTAATCATGAGTAAGTTGCTCCTTTCTGTACCTCAGTTTCTTCAACTATAATCCGGAAATAATATTCCCTCCCTCATAGTCATTGTGTGAATTAAATGAAAAAGGTATAAAGTGGTAAATACTGAACACTTGATAAATGTTAGCTATTACTAAAGGAGAGACCAATATTTAAATGATTACAATACAATGTAATACCTTAGGATAAATACATCAAAAATGACTTTTTTTTCCTTCATTATTTTACAGCTTTATTACTGATTTCCCTCTAAAAAGAAACCCAAATAAATGTGGAGTTGACTCATTATCTATAGGGTAAGGAATCACAAAGTACCATAGTGACATAACAAAAGCAAAAAAAAAAAAAAGATAAGCAATTGTTTTACCTTTCAACTGCTGATGTTATGTACGATCTATCAAAAGAAGCATAGCTGTGCATTCATGAGCTGATTGTATTAACCTCTAGAATTTTAGAAACAAGCACATCTAAGCATATGGATAGTCTCTTACCTTACAAAGTAAAAGCAAGCATTTTCTATTTTAAAATTTTTATTTCTGTGTAAAACGAAGAATTCCTAGAGGTCAAATAAGAAAAATATACCAAAGTCAAAGCACTATTAAGTCATGAAACAAAGAATACTCTGAGGTAGAAGTCAAGCAATATAATCCACAATTTCAGGTATTCCCAGCAACCATCACATCTCGCAAGTAAGATCTATTTTTTTTAAGTCTCAAATTCCAAAAAATCAATAATCCATTCTGTAAAATCACATGGAAAACTATGACCGACAGAAGACACCCAAACTTTTGTCATAGTAACAGAGTAAATGCTCTTACTAAAAGCTGCCAACACTTCTATCAGTAGCAACTGTAAGGAGGCCGCTGGTTGTTAACGTTCATATTAGTGGGGATAGTAAGGTTCTTGATTGTGTTGCGGTTAATTGTTATCCCAGAATTGTCCATGCTGCTGATTGGATCGGTTGTCACTTTGCCACTCTCATCTACCGTCCCTGCCTCTGAACTGTTATCTTGCAACCGATTGCCTGTTTATTTGGTTCCCACCAGCTCTGCTATTCCATTACTGAACAATTGGAGGGGACTCAGGAGGGTGTTTCAGGTATTCCTGATACTCCTTGTCATCTTCTGTGAATCTACTAGCAAACATCTCTTCAAAATTTGGAACAGCTTCAGCAGTGTCAGTCATTCTGAAATTCCCAAAGATTTGAGGCAGCTGTATTGTTTAATGTTTAAATCGGTCAACGGCTGTGTCTATCTAGCTTGGGCTGAACGCCGCCGGCGAGACACTGAGAGGCCGCAGGAGAGGTGGCCTCTTGTCCACCACACCGTGGAACTCCAGACCACTCCAGCTCTCCAATGTAGCGCAGTCCCTTCCGCTAGCCATCGAAAATAACGTAAGTCACTTAAGCTGCACTTAGGATAATGAGGTTGTTATTTAAAGAGGTGATAACTGAGGTGACTACAAAAGAAAAGTCGGAGATTGGGTGTGAGCAAGCTGCATGGGGGCAGTAGCATGTTCTAGGTTGAAGGCTCACCCTAGGCCAAGCACCGTGGCAGCTGTTTTACAATATTATCACTTTAATATCACATCCTTGCAAGATACGTAGCTTCGTTTCACTGAGGAAAGCTCAGAAAACTTAAATAACTCGCCCTTGGGCACACATGACTGGAAAGAAAGTGGGATTTTTATTTCAATAAGTAAGTTTGTCTGGCACAAGGGCGACTCAGCAGAGGGAACTTCAAGGAAGTGTGAGACAGAACAGCCGGAGCCCTGAGCTGGGAGAGTGGAGGACGAATTATAAAGCGCTTTATGCCTGTCATAATGAAAAGCTTGTCCTTGAACTTGAGAGCAAGGCTGAGAGGGCAAAGCAGGCCCTACACAAGCAGGTCATAAAGAGCAAGATGATGCCCAGGCAGATGAGGATTCTCTATCTACAGAGCGCCCGCCTGCCAGCTCCTTCACAGCAGCGGATTTTGCTGCAAGAGAAGAGGCAGCAGGCCAGGCCTTTTCCTTCGCCCACAGCGCCGACGTCGAAGGCTCCCAGACTGGTTGCTCCACTGGCTGCTTGAGGTCCCCTCTCTCCAGACCCGCCGGACTGCCGGCCCGTGCTGTGGCCGATCCCGCACCGCTGCCTCGGGCTTTAGGCCGCAGCGCCACCCGGCCAACCCGCCTCTGCACCTTTCCCTGGCGTCTTCCCCTCTCCTCCAGCTTCCTCCGCCCCAACCTAGCGTAGAACCCCAAACTCCAGCCCCAGTCCACTTCCGCAGCTTCATCTCCTCAGCATCGCAGGTCGGATCACGTGCAGGCTCTGTCACGTGACATTGGGTCACGTGAGGCCGGTCACGCCCCGGGCAACTTGGCTGGGGCTGGGCTTCCGGGGCTCTGCGGTCCTCTGCGCGTGCGGGTGGCCTCGGAGCCCACCGAGCCGGGCCGCTGGGATGGTGAGGGCTGCGGGCTGGGCTGCGGCCGGGCAGGAGAGGGGCCGGCCTGGGCTGGGGTCGCCGTCCGTGCTGCCCTCAGGCTCAGCCTGTCTTCTCGTTTTTTTCGCTGCAGATGAACCGGACGACCCCCGACCAGGAGCAGGCGCC